ATAAGACCTTTATTAGATATTGCATAAGATTCTAGTTACGCAATCCTTATTGTAGTTAGACAAACTTGTTTTTCAACATATTTTCTTTTTTGACTACCATACTCTTCATTTTTTAATTGTGTTGCTTCTACAAAAATAAAATTGAATAATGTACTTATATTTTCTACAATATAATTATAATTTTTTTTAATAATTTTAAATCTTTTTTTGTTTAATAAGAAGTTTAAAATATACCATGTAAATTTGCATGTCTTTTACTTTCATATATATATATATATATATATATATATATATATATATTGAAAAGAAATTAATATTGCCATTGAATAATAAAGATATTGAAATCCACTTATGCACTTCTTAGATCAAAACTTAAAAAGTTGATTGTCACATTTCAAAGTAAAGTCAATTGATTGACTCAATCTTTGAAAATTAGGTAATTCGACCATGAATTTCTTTACCTTATATTGTCATCCATAGAAAAATTGCCTAATGATTAAATAAATTATTATACTTGATATAAATTATAAGTTATCAAAATTGTAAAGCATATAAACTTATTGATCAATAGCCTTAATAAAAAATATAAATCTTATTGGTTGCAATAAAAATTACATTATGTTCTCTATACAAAGATCAAAATTCTATCAAAAGCTTTCAAGTATTTTGATTTTAGATTATATTATTTAAAAGAATATGAAAATCATAATAAAAAAATTTAAAATTATTATTTTAATAAACCTTGTCATAATGAAGTTAAATAACTTTGAGATTGAAGTTCTATTACTAATTATACTTCATTAATAAATCCTTGAAACTTTAGTCTTGTACCACCAAACTTCTCAAATATGACAACTATTGATTCTTTGGCACTTGAATAATGTTCCATCATAGAAAAAATAATATGATTTAGTGTAGATGTCAAAGTAGCTCTAATAATCTCTATATCTTTACTTCTAACTATTTTGTTTACTTCTTCTAGTAGTAAATTGATTTAATGCATTATAAGCATTAATTCCTTTATTTACTCTTGCATTTGTGCTATTGCATTCCTTATTTCAATAAGTTCTTCTATAATAATACAATGAAAAAAAATATGTCTAATATTATTCAAGACAAATAAAAAAAATGACTTAAAATTAAAAAATATATATCTAAGTTTAATATTAATTTAGGAGTAAATAATTTATAATTCTAATATGCTTATGTCTTAATAAAAAAAAGAAGTGATTTTCTTTTAATTAAGAAAAGACAAAGCTCTAATATCATAAATATATTCTTATCAATTTATAAAAGAAAAAATTCAAAGAATACAAATAAATAAATGAGATATTTTACAAAGAGAGTTAACGTATATATATATATATATATATATATATATATATATACTCACAAAGAAACTAGAATGGCTATTGCCAAAGACTAGAAAACTATAGATTCTTGAAACTAAACTAGAAGCAAAACAAAAAAAAAATAAAAATAAATAAAAATAAAAAAATGACAAAAGTGATGATGGCCTTACTCTTGTCTCTTTATATATTATCTAACTAAGAGCTATTTTCCAACATTTTATATGACCTCCAACATGTGTCCAACTTGCAAAAAATACATGTTTAACTTGTAAGTTAAGTTTCTTATATATGTACCATATGACCAACATATACCACAAGTGGTTAACATGTCCAACATATGGCCAATTTGTTGGCCAAGTTTTCAACCTATCAATTACATATAGACATGTATGAAGTCAAATTTGTATCTATAAAGATTTTAAGAAGCTCCTCCACAAATAAATATAATATATCTATTTTAATTTACGTCTATCTAATTCAAATTATGTAAGTAACTATTAATATTAATTATATTTGTGACTATTATTAATAATATGATACTAGGTTCAAAAATTGTAGATTTTTTTTATTAAAAAATATCAACATTTATTATAAAAATAGCCAAAAATAAATTTATTATCATATTACAAATAATATTTTTAATTTATAATAAGCCAATCATATATATTTTATTCTTGAAATTTAAAGAACTTAATTTTACAACATTTAAAGAAGGTCCGTATAATATAGATATAGATCTACTTCTACATAATACAAATGCAAGTGCTACCACAACCAATATGGCTATTATCAATACTAATTTCTCTATTGTAAGCTTTCACATACTCTTTGAGTTCTAACTAAGCAACAAAATTCTAAAAAAGTAACTGTAAATTATCAAAGCACTATTAACATAGATCTTTTAAATCCTTAAAAAATAATGCACTCACATCTCAATTAAATTCACTTTCTAATATAATAAATATAAATCAAATACTTAAATTCTTCTTTAATTCTAGTCTCTTGCTAAACCACATGCCATTGATACTTTTATTTGTTGAAAATCTCATCACTACTTAGTGTCATAATAATTATTGATGTATAGATCTATTATATATTTTTTTAGATTTTTAATTGCCAAAATTGGGCACATAGCTGTGAAAGGCGATGTTGTGTTTCACAAGTATCCAAAAAATCCTAATAGATTTCATCCATACGAGAAGAATATAATCTGAATTTCAATTCAAAAATGCTAAAAACACTCTTCTTAGTAGTCTCAAGAATACATAAATCCCAATTACCTTGTTACTTTCATATTTAAGCAATTTAGATTTTTCTTGTAAGCCCCAATCCTAATTAGTGAGCTTTAACAAGCTGTAACATCCAATCCGACCGTCCACTTGATGTAAAATTTTGCATGGAGTTGTCAATGTAAGTCTTCTATATGGTTAAGAATTTTTAGTCCAATCCAACTTACAAATTGTGAAGAAACCTCCAAAAATTGCACTAATGTCACTCGGCCGCTAACTTGAAAAGTGAAGCAAAAATCCCAGCAATGATTTCTTCCTTTCCAACTATTAACTTTGACTCAAAATTGGTATATAGCTTGATCTTCAAGTCTTTCAACACCATGCCAAATTTCACCTTGATCCAACTGATAGATCTCTAGATATCACAGAAACCCTACTCAACCTCAAACTGCCAACTTCCATAACTCTCTTATGCTAAAAACTAGATATCTCTAAACCACGCTGTTAGATTATTACAAAATTTTGTATATACTTAGCACACCCAATGATCCAAATATTACCAAATTTTCAATTGTAGATGATACACCAATCGCACGAACTAGCCAAAATTTCTAGCCCTAATTATATTATATAAAATCCAAATCACCAATACAAACCTTGACTTTGAATAATAATTGCTAAGTCTTTAAAAACCCTCCCAAAAAAAATCCTTATGCCTCTAGAAAGAACTTCAAGCTAGCTCTCAAAAATTATCCTCCGATCTTCAAATGAATCCCTATTTTGCCCTAGGCCATCGTTTTTGTGGCTAGAGGTCTGATTTCGACCTTGTCTCACAAACGGCCGATCCCTAGGTATCAATCTAACCTATCCTAAGGATTTTTTAGCCCAATTCTACTCTCAACTTAACCCTAGTACCAACTATATTAATTATTTATCTCTTCTAACTTGATTTTATCAATTTATGGTCTTTCTAAGGTAGTAGAAGAGTCTCTACAACCTAGAAGGTAAAATTACTAACTAACTTTCAACTTACTAACTATTAAGATAAGAAAATAACCTAAGAAGCTTTTATAAAAGCCATGTTTAGATACCTCAAATTATAATTGAACTAAAATAATTAGATATTAATTAGAAATTTAATTTTGATTATAATTTCACTATATAGTCAAATTACATCACGACAACAGGATGTTTGAATTCTATCCAACTAAAAAAACACTAAAATATAGATGGTCTAAATCTTCATGACGTGATGCAAAGACAGGATGAATTAGCAATATTTTATTTTGAAGAATTCACATATGTGGTAGAATGGAGTAATTGCCAATGAAATTCATTCAAGACTATCATATTTACAAGCAACTTTAAAACAATATTATATAATATCTATGTTTTAAATCACACGCTGTATTAAATATAGAAGAAATTACTTTCATATACTTCAATTTATTTAAAAATAAATAAAAAAGAATAAAAATATTATACAAAATATTAATACTAAAAAATTATAATTTATTTATTTTATAAATCAAAAATATATATTTTTATTAAATTCATGATTTTTTAATTAGATTCTAGAAGCCACACATTTAAAGCTTATAAGATTGTATAACAAGATATATTTTTTTCTAAATTAATATCCAATTTTAAATAATAAATTAACTATAATTAAATGTAAATGTTATAATCAGGTTTATTTAAAATAAAACAAAAAAAATATTATGTCAATTTTATGTCAATAAGAAAATGCACCATCAATAGAAATAACAAACTTAAAAGTAATTGTATTTATTTTTGTGATGATTGATTAAGGGATCAACTCCATTTAGTGCAGATGAATATTATTTGTTAAATTTGAGGAATTCTATATGACACTGGGAAAAGAAGTAGCCAAAGTGACATCTACTATTTAATTTAGGAAAATTAGAAAAATAAAAAAACATATTGTGGTGTGTCACAACATATAATTGTAATGACATGTAAAATCTTGTTTAAAAATATTTGTATTACTTTATAGATTTCCAAACATAATTGTGACTGAAAACAATAATAGTAGTCAAAATTTTGAGCAAAGAAAAATATTTGAAGAACAATAATACCAAAAAAATCATAAATATCAGTAATAGGGTTTTTAGGAATGTTACCATCAATATTTACATGTTTTTAAACCTATCAATTCTATACATCCCACACATGCAAAAATAAATAAATAAACACATACATAATTAAATAAATGGATATCCAATAGTATAATTTTCATAGAATACTACAACACAGTTCGGTCATGTTGGAAGTCTCATTGTGATTCTGACGATTGTATCGATAAAAAAAACAAGGTAGTGGCACTGCAGAAGCTACAGAATGAAGTGTTGAAGTGCACTGAACTTGAGCAAAATTCACTCCATCCAGCAACACTAAAGCCATAGATTAGCAACTTGCAGAATCCAGTTGTTATGAAAGCTAAGGGCTTCACTGTACATGAAATACTGCAGTCTATACTTGTGGATGGTTGTTTTCAGATCTGCCTCCCAAACTGTGTATCGTGGAACTTCTTTTGCCTAAACTCAGGCTTTGTTATTGTGGCTTATTTGTGCTCAAAAGTTTCAGTTTTGGAGACGTTGTGGAGGTTCTGCAGCTCTTCCATTTGGTGGGTTTAATTCTTGTGAAATCTACTCTGGCTTGGTTATGATGGATTATACATTAGCGAGGTCTTGTGTGGGTAAAAGAATAACTGGCTTTGTATGTGTGCTGATTTGAGGAAATCATGTACTGCTTTGCTGGGTAGTGAAGTTCTGCTTCTATGGTGATGCAGGAATCTGTAGCGGATCCGAGCGTCTTAAGTTTTGATTAGTGATTATAATCTGCTAGAAATGCAAACATCTTCAAGGTAAAATTGATTGAGAATTATGTTGGGCTCTCTAATCGAGAGAATGAGATAGAAGCAGTTGTGTATGAGCTGCGGAAGGGGGGGGGGGGGATCTCGAACCTCAAACAGCGAAGCGTGAAATTTAGGCACTGGCCGAGAGCAATTTTGCCCTAGGAACGGTGGTGGAGTTTTTATTTGCAAGGGTAATAAGCAGAATGCCACGATGGAATTTGAAGAAAACGTGGCAGGATTTTGCTTGCAAGCAAGACCTTCTCATTTATCCCCACTGGAATGGGTTTTAAGGCTCATTCTAGCCTAACGAGAGATGCAAAACATGGTCGCTTGGGCTGCTTGAGAGTTGGAAACTTTGAAAAGCTCCATCACTATACTTTTTCTTCGAATTGAAAAGATCGATAACATCTGTTAGGGTCTTTAGGAAGAGTTATTAGATGAGAAGGATGAAAATGAAAACTTACAAAACAAGCTAGTGTTGTCTTTTGCTGAGAGAGACTACCAGCTATTACAAGTCGCTGCTTTTAAGAAGAAACAGTTGGCTGAGCTTCACGAGGGTATGGAGGGAAACAAACATGCAAATACAATAAAACAAGTCACTGTTAATGAATCGGAAAATGACCGCTCAACGCTGGCATTTACTCGTAACAATTTGAATATACTCGTGCAGCAACGTTAATGGGTTGTCAGGGAGCGTGGAAACCTGCACAGGAGCCTCCAGGAATGCAATGCTGAGATCGTAGAGCTGAACCATGAAACTGTTTAACCCTAAAGCTATCATCCACGTTGAGCGCAGGTACAGCGTAAATGCTGATTCCGAGGCAAGCTCACAGCTAACATTTCTCCAAGAGGAGCTTGCGAAAACCGGTGAAAAGTCCTCTGCTGTTGTTAAGGAATGACGGGAGCATCAAGTGGTGTCACAAAGGACTGGAGTAGAAAGATTCTGAGTTGTGAGGTCTTTGGAGAAAACAGGTGGAGATGCAACTGAATAGTGACAATGTTATCCGGATGGAATGTAGTTTCATGATAAAAGAAAAAAAGAAAGAACGAAGCAGAGATGACATTTAGGTAGATGCAGATGCCCAAAGAAAAACGGAAGTCGGAGTCTGACTTTTATGAATCCTCCATGGGGAAAGCATAATCACTGGCAAAAAGATAGGTCACTATTTTGTGTCTCAAGCTCATCAAGACATCCTCCTACTAACAAACAACTTTGTTCTAGTACCGAGGTGTCCAGCTGAGTACGAAATTGCATGTGTAGGGTACAGTTATTCTTTACTTTCAGATATGAATGCAAAAGGTTTGTACCGATTTGACGTAACTTCCCACTATATGTTTACCCTCAGTTGTGCAGTAAATGAGACATGCGTGGATATTTCTGACCTGAGATCGACGCTTGCGCGATTCTTGTGAACTTGCTCCAGATTTAGGAGCAATTTCCAGAATTAATTTAGCGACGACATCTTTTGCAAAGCACTGAAAGCGGTGTAGGAATTGCATATGTACACTAGTACTCTTCTCGTTGCCTCTCTTTTTATTTTAGGGTATCCGCGGGGCACTTAGTAAGTCTAAATTCTATTCATCAGACCATGGATTCGGCGCATTAACAAATTCAAGGTTCCCACAAAAGGCCACAAGAATATTTGCTGATGAACCTGATGGATTGTAGTGTATAAATTATTTTCTACATTTTTCAAACTTCGTATATTGACTGAGATTAATTGCAGACATTTTATCATTGAAGCAGTATGAAGATATTAATCTAAAACGCTGTATTGATTTCACAAGTTTAATCCGGGCAGGATACGAACAAGACAGCCCCAAATTGAAGCAATGCCTTGCAATGTATTGATTACTGATACATTTCTACATAGCCATGTGTTTCTACAAAGCCATCTGAACCTCATACTAACCACCGTGTGGGTCAATGGATTGATCAAAGTTTGTGGTTCTTACATCTCTAGCAGAATCTTTCACAACATCTCGATGCCTGGCATGAGGTGATTGTACCCGATAGATCCGGTAGAGTTTGGAGCGAATTGAAATTCAGACGACCTCTACATGTTTGTAATTAAAAAGATGTATGTCCAATGGTGTACCTTCCCTATTACAGAGATTGACAGCAATGTGGAGGCGTTACACGCAGGGATACGGTGTCCAACTGTGTTTCCTCGCAATGTCTCTGACAATGTGCACTTCACTTAGCAGTACAAGATATTGCTCCGCAACATTTTTCCTGCCATCCACTTCAGCATGCTTGTGCCTACTGCACTTTTTGTAGCAGCATACATGTGTATTCCGTGTTATGTTGTATGTGCACCGAGGATACCCGTAGGTGTCTAAAAACTGCAGGGTGGACTTGCAATGATAGATTTCGAGGGCTTGTAGGTTACTACTGTAATGCACATGTTATTTCGGGGTAATGAGGTTATTGAGTGACTGTATTTTTTGAATCATTTATATTAAGTTGGTGTAGATGTGTTCAAGATCCGTACCCAAGGTTTTGGGTGATTCCGCCAGCAATATACTGCTGATTCTGATCCTACGTAGCTCCAATGTGGCTGAGGTGTTTAATTTTTATGATAGCAAAGAGAAATGAACAAAGAAGTGCATAAAAATAAATACTCAACTTCTTAAGTTAGTGGGAAGTCACTCGGAAATCATTTGAAACAATTGAGAATGGACCTTCATCATCCAATCCTGTAATCATACTTCAAGTTCGAAGAGGTTGAAACAGTATTCGACAAATATCATTTCCTTGGTCATTGTAGAACCCTTGATATTTTTCATCAGTGCAACAGTCCCGAGCTAAACTTGTCTGCTTTTCCATGGGTCTCGTTTCAGTAAAACCATGACAAGATACGACGTGAATGTTATGTTTCTAATAGCCGAATGGGTTGTGCTTAAGACGATGTTTCATTCAGTATAATGTCCTTGCTTTGCTTTACACAGTAAAATGAAAGACGTGTGGCGAACCGTCTGTGCCCCTCTGCTTACACAAAACAAGGCGAAGGAACACATATTTCAAATAAATAAATAAATAAATAAAAGAAAAAGGTAGGACGTCGAGGTCAAGAAGTGGTTGCAAATTGGCATTCCGGCTCAAATTAAGCCACAAAGCATGGAACGCTAGCTCGCAACAATGAAATCCTGTTTTGAGGGCAGAAATCAACGACTCACTTTAGCACATGACAGTGCAGTCGACAGACCATTTTGAAGGGTTTCCTTGTTTCCAGCCTCAGTCTCCTCCCCACTACAATCACACACACCCTGCCAAGCCTCTTCCACTGACAGCCAATTCCTGGGCAACGCCATAGCTCCATTCCTGTTCAGTTCAAACACTCCTCTTTCCCACAAAAAATAAAACTGCACCTATAAATACAAATATATCCCTTTATTGGAATCAACCTGGGCAACACAACCCATGATTGGAATGAGTAAGAAAAAGCTGTTCCGACCAGGTTTACCTCGAGGCACGAGCCAGGGGAGGAACAGACCTTGCAGAGAAAACGAAAAGCAAAGCAAAGCAAAGCAAATGCAAAAACAAATGCAAACTCAATTGTGGATGGGTCCATGAAACCTCGAAAGAATGGGCACGGAAAGCATTTTGCACTACATTAATGTCCATCTTGCTTCTCTGTTTTATTGTATTGGAAGTTACCCACCTGGCTCATCATTTGAGTCCTTTGTATTTGTATGGACTCCCGCTGTTGTGGAAGGACTGCAAGTAGATTTCGGCTTTAGTTTTGTAGTTTTTTGACAGAATATTTATTGGATTTTCTTTTGGATGGATTGATATCTTCATAAGACATTTATTCATAGATTTCTTTTTGTTGTTTTGTTGTTGTTGTTTGGCAATGTAGCTATTGTTTATCTAGAATGCATTATTTATTTACTTCAAATTTAATTTAGGTTTTTTTGTTACAAAAATAGAAATTATCCAATGCGTTGATATTATGAAACAATGTACAAAAAGATAGCTTAACTCCTTGTACCTATGTAACATCAAAATATCTTAAACCATGTCACAGTCATGAATCAACTCATAGATCTTGTCAAAAGTTGCTCTTGTACAAACATAAAACCAACCATTTTTCCTATAGAAAGATTTCAAGTCCATTCTAAGCCCACTAATGATTGGCAAACTTTACAAGGATGAAGTTAGTGGTTTAGTGTGATGGATGTGGTGGTTGAATGTATTTTTATGGATGGTTTTGGCCAAGCCTATGTGTTGGTTCAGGGACTCAAAGAATAAAGTTATTTGAAACTTTATATCCATTAAACTACCACAGCTTTTGTAATTTTTTTCTTTTGAAGCATATAAAATCATATTTTTCCATTAAAACATATTTTTTCCTAAAATAAACCTCCCTAAAATAGTTAAAAATACTTAGGTTGATGGTTTAAGGTATTCCAAGATTAGGAGAAATAATGTGTGATGTAATTTCTATTGATTTCTATTCCTCCAAAGTTTCATTTATTCTCAAATGAGATTTTAGTACATTAAAGTTTTATTGATTTACTTTATGCATTTTTAGACCTAATTAGGTGTTTTTCTTTCTAGATATTGATATATTTTTTAACAAGGTATATCTTGTGTTTAGAATAATTTTCAATTTTTTTTATGACTTTTCAATTAATTTGTATGTATTCTATTAAATCCCTCATAATCATACTTTTAGTGTAGAAATCACTTTATACCTCCTATTCAAAGGTAAATTGATTTATTTAGATCTACATAATCTATAAGCATGGTTCTTATAACAATGATCAGATTGTAATGAAGGTTTCTAATTGATGAGCAATATGTTTTAAAAATAGCTTGCTTCTTTGTAAAATCTTTTAATAATATTTATTTCTAAAAATTAGATGTTGATTTATAAAAAATTAAGGCAATTCAATTCCAAATTCTACAAGTTTAATGGTATTTCCAAAATTTGTAAATGGTAGTTTTGGGTATTTAGAATGAGTATAAGATGCAATAAGTGTCAATATATAAATTAACTTGCACTCTTTATGTATTAACAACCAACTCCTTTGTTCTATAGAAACCACATATATATTACTTATCTGCAAGTAAGAAGTTTGGACCATATATTATCATTTTTAAAATAATAAATCATGTTCTAATAAGGTATTTTATTTGGTTATTTTTAAATTAGTGATATGAGTGCTTTTTTAAAGTAACTTTGACCCAAGTTCGATTGAGTATTCATAAATATTTTACTTTTGTCTGAGAATAAGAGTTGGAATCAAAAATAAAGCTACTAATTGGAACTTAGAATAGATTGATGAATTTGTTTCTTCTTTTTTGTTGGAATTTTTTTAGAACAATTATTAAAAAAAATAAAAAAAATAACTACTTCATTCTTACTACTCCTAAAGTATTGAATTTTTAATTAGATGATAGGATTTTATTATAGTAGAAAATTCTTATTTGGACATTCATAAAAAAAAAATGATCTTTGCAGGTAGAGATTTAAAAAGAAAAAAATAAAAAAATAAAAAACCATTTATCTTCTTAAATTTTATTTTTTTGAGTAAAAAATTAGAAAACTACTTGCAATAATTAATCTTTTTAAGGCATATAATTTGATCTAATCTTGAAATTTAGCTGAAATAATATCATATTGAAGTTTAGTGTTTTATGTTCTAAAAACAATAGTAGTATAAAAAAATTCCAAATTTTATTAATGTTGGACATGACTTTGTATTTAGATTTTAACATTTATAATTAAAGGTTATATTGAAATTTTAAAAAGATTTTGGCTCTTTGAATTCCATTTAAGTATAGTATTGCATCTAGTTGAAAATTTAGGTGAGTACCAATGAGCTGGAATTTTAGATCCAACCATAAACATCTATTTTAAATTTTATAAAAAAACAAGTCAAGAAATCAAGACTATAGTATGAATATATTTGTGTCCTAAATTTGTCAATTTTTTTAAAATAATTTTTGCCAAAATCCTAGTTGTCATTTAGAATTAGTATCTAAATATGGTCTAAGAGCCAATTTTTTTTATGCAATTGATTTGGCATTTATCATTTTGTATCTAAGAAATAATTGATTGATAGCACATCTAAGTTGTGAGACCTCTAAAACCCATTTGGTAAGAAAAACATCTTATGTATGTAAGAATAAGAAAAATATAATGTGTGGTAACTTACTAACATTATTGAAGAAAGTCTAATCCCATTCAAAATCATTGGTCTAAGGTAGTCCAATGTTTTTTTATTGAATACTTATTAGTATATTGCTTTGAACCAATTAACTTCTAAAATTGAGGCTAAACTAAATTTTTTGATAATTTTTATTAATATTTTCATATTATTTTATTTATTTTTAATTATAATAGTTGAATTTTTTATATTTTGATACATAATTTGTGGATTAGAATTCTAAGGAATATTGATACCATTAAGTTTATGTTGTTTGAATGTATCTTAAATGGCTATGTATAAAATATTACCAATAAAGAATAAAAAAATATAAAGCAAGCTAACATCTTTATTTCTTTCTTCTCTTTATTGGATATTGTTTTGCAATAGAACCATTTATTTTAATTAAAGTCCTTGTGCCTTAAAAATTGAATTTAATCATACAAAAAATCTAAATATTAAATCCAATTTTTTCTATATTATGTAAAAAGAAGTCTCAAGAGACTATATCAAAAGCTTTGGAGATTAAGTTCAAAAGCTTTGGAGATCAACTATTGATTCTTATGTAAATAGTATAATATCTAAGATTTATGTTAAAGAAAGAAAAAGAAAAAATAAAGAAAGAAAAAAAAAATATTTGATCAAAATGAATAATTTTTATTAGTATATATTAAAATATATTTTATATAATATTAGTATGTATTTTTATTTTTGGTATTTAATAAGAATATAGATTGGTAATTTTTAATTTAGTCTTATTTTTATATTTATAAAATAAAGTGAGATATTCTTTAATTATACTTTGAAAAAATTTACCATTTGTTAGATATTGCTTAATCATTGTAATATAGTCTTTTTAGATAATATGCCAAAATGTTTAAGAAATTCAATCCTAAAAATGTTATCTTTAACTACTTTTTTAAAGTATTTTAAAGTTTAAAAGTTAAAATTAATTTTTCATTCATTTATTGATGACTTTATAAATTTATTATTTTTCTAGCCTTAAGCTTTACTAAATTAAGGCAATCTTTAATATTGTGATGTATTTCTAAATAAAAATAAAACAAAAACAAAACAAGTCAATAGGTTTAGATTATCAATGAGTGTAGTTTTTTATTTTTGTATTTGTCACAAGGTTGTTCATATTGATTTCAATCTCTTAGCTAATTCTAAAGTCTAAAATAATATAAAAATATGTCTCACACATGTAATTTATTTTTGGACCAAAATCCAAAATATATTCTAGCCTAGCTATAATAAGTGGAACAACTAAGAAGAGCTCTTCTAATAAGTATTTTAATACAACTAATGTTGATATCTTAAATGATCCCAAATAAGCATAATTGTTTTGATTCTATATGGTGCATTAATCAAAGTATGGATTCCAAGAGTAGAACATATAGAAGTAGATATTAGATCGATATGGCAATTGAATTAAAACACAACAAGTTACCTCTTTGAATGAAGTTTTTCAATAAAAATATTTTTTCCAAACAAAAGAGCTTCTCCTACTAATTTTTTAAGGCTTTGAGTCCATTATTGTCAAATTTACTATCTACAATACAAATAATTATAATATTTTAATATATTTTATCTATTTTTTTCTCATAGGGTTTTGATCTAAGGCAATTGCATGTAGTTTTGTGCATGAGAATTATTCTATAGGATTTCTAAAAAGCTTCAAAAGGAGAAATTTATCTAGTGTATATTGAATCAAGTATGGTTGGCTATTTTGGCAATATAATTCATAAAAAACAAACATCTCTTGGTTTCCATTTAGGTTCATGAGTAAGTTTATGCTTTAGAATTTTATTGCAATACCTCTAGTTATGTAAGCAATCCTTATATTACCAATTGTATTCCTAATATACTTAGCATTAGTCAACATTGTTTATTATAATATTATCTCTAAATACCGAATTTAAAAAATTAAAAATAGAATAAAATTAAAATTAAAATCTTAATACTTCTTTATTTACATAAGAATCACTTAAGATAACTTACTAACAAAATGTTATTGTATGGTGTAGCCATGACCATGCTTATGATGCTCTACTATTATAATGGCATCCAAAATCATAAAGAACTTACTTTATACCAAGCTTTTCTTGTCTCATTTTTATTTTTATGTAGTCGCCATTACTTGTGTCATCACGCTTCTTGTTTCTTTTTTTTTATTATCTTTCTATTTGTTTTTATTTTATTTTCCTCTCAGTTATTACAATTAAATGCTACTATTCTCCTTTTATTATTACCATCTTCTTCTTTGTTGCTTTTACTAATATTCTTCAAACTTACACACTTACTATGTCTCTTTTATTCACCTTAATTGTTATTTTATATACATTAGTCCATATTATCATACTTTTATTAGCATATTGACTTATCTCTATAGCTAAATTATTCTTTTTAAAAAATAATTTGTTATCAATGTAATATTTTTTTAAATAGATAATTATATTGTAGTTTATTATAAGACTTAATCAAAATTGACCTAAAAATATTAATATTTAATGATATAAAGATAGTTATATTTATATCAACTATGTTAATTTACAAGATTTTATAGTTTTTGGGACACAACTTGAAAATTGATAGTTTTTAATGTTTAATCTTTAGCTGGTATTAATTTTAAATAGAAGTGGCAAAAATTGATTTATAAGGCCTACAAAGATTTTTTCCAATAAAATATTTATCTTCAATATTATAAATAATTAAAAGAAAGTTTTTATTTTTTAATTTTAAGATTAAAAATGCTACAAGTCTTTGATGGTCTAATTTATTATAAAGCTATTAGATCTTAAAAAATAAAAAATAACATCTATATTAAAATTATAATTTTAAAAAATATATTTTTTCTAATTATAGAATAATTGTGACAACAAATATATTTTAAGTTGTGCAAACATTGAGTATAAATAAATTTTTATCACTAAATACCACTTTATTATTTAATTATTTAACAATCTTTTAACAATATTAAAAATAAAAATATTTGAATCTAATATTTAAATATATCTATATATAAATTATCTACTCTTATAAATTAAGCCAAATACAAAATGGCAATAAAGATAACTATCAAAAAAATAACAATTTATGAATTATTGAATTTAATGGTATTTTCAAACAAAGATAATAACAGAATTTGTTTAATAATATAATTTTTGACAAATTTAAATAATATTTGGAATTTTTTTAAAAAAATTAAATATTTTAAACAATAAATGATATTTTATTTTATTTTATAAATATTTAAATAAAAAGATCTAATACAATTACTTCTTAAAAGCTTCAAAATAATATTATTATAATTTTTTATTCTTTTATAAATCTTAAAATTAAATTCATATTAATTATAGTTTTTTCTTTGTTTTATCTAATTATTTTATGTGATACACAATTGTGAATGAATTAATTAGATATTATAAAATAAATTTATTTATAAATTAAATGATAAATATATGTATTTAAATAGAAAAAAATAACATCCATTGTATGAATATTGAAAGAATTACTTTATGAAGTGTAACAATATTCATGAATGGTAGATAACAAATTGACAACATTAGTTGAAATTGTTGTGCTTTAAAACAAATGACATCTAGAATTCATTTCTCTACTATTGGATCTCCGACCAATAAAAACCAACCACATTCATCAAGATTACCATATTCTTCATAATGGGAATATATATATATATATATATATATATATATATATTATTCATTTATTTATTTTGACTAAATAATATAATTTTCTATAAACTCTTTTAGAAAATCTGTAATAATTTGAACATATCAATATTCAATTAAAATACTAGTTATTATGTCATTTATGAGTGTTACACCATAAACTTGTCCCAGAAGTTGAATGATTTTGCATTTTAGAATGACAACATGACATGCAATAGAAAATACAAAGCATGAAAAAAAACTTTGACATTTTAACTGAAACTTGCACAAGTAAATCCTTGTAGGACTAATAATACAGTTTACAAGGCAACCACGTGGCATTACTAAAATCCCCAAGTGTTTCTAAAGTCCCGAAGCTACCACTCCCCTTCTAAAACAAAATTGCATTGTGTACGGACAGTAGAATTACATCAACACCCTTGGCAGCGGTCACGAAATGAATCTGAACCCCACTGCAAAACCGAACCGACACAAAATGCCACTGAAGAATGGGCTTTGGTGGACTAGCCAATACCAAGGCTGGACTAGAAATCCCATTCAAATCCCTCCTCGCTCGCTCGCTGCATCGTTTGTCACGCCACACCCACACCAACACACATGCACACTTAAACTCGCGTATGAAATGTGGCCTTGTTTCGCGGGATGTGTAAGAGCAGCTGGGGCACTTGAACGTGGGGCTCCTGAGTATTTGCCGACACCTTGGGAAGCCGGAGCTCCGTCCAGTCCACCTCCTCATCTGTTTGTTGTATTCGGATACTACCTGGATTAGAGACTGATTAGCTGGGGCTCTAGCTGCGAGTCTCTCTCTCTCGCTCATTCTGGCTCCTTTGTAGTACCCTCCGCTGGGTCAGGATGCAACGGTCGGTTGTTGATCACAGCCTGCTGCTGCCGTGAACAATGTGATCCTGTGGGGAGGTTGGAGCTTGCACCGCGTCGTTTGGGGTTCACCTCCCTTCATACCGGGGATCTGCCTGTGGCAGCAGCAATGTTGAGTGGGGCTAGACTGTTGGATCATGTGGAATTCTTACATTAAATTGGCATCATTGGTATCTTCGCCTCGTAGGAACTTTGATGAGAGAAGAGTTTTCATGAGTTGTACTTGGTGATGTGGGGTTGATCTGGTGCTCATTCAGCACGGCAGTTACTTCCTAGTTTTCGGACGGGGCGACTGAGATGAGCGGCGTCTTCGATGTGGGAATTTTTGTTTCTGTGTCGGGACGTGTTCTTGGAGAGGGGGGGCCTGTGTCGAGGCATTAGTCATCGATCGGACGCAGGGAACAATGTTGATGTAAACAACCTTATTCATACTTGTTGATACTACTCTGAGCCAATGTAGCCGTGGATGGTGTTTATTCCCTTCGTCTAATATTATGCATGAAGGTAGCGCGTAGCAGCATTGTCCGTGGATCTTAATACTGCACGGAATTCCCAAGCTTCCAGTTGGTAGTGTCAGTGATCCATCACTACAGGAATTATTTAATGCAGCGAGGGCTCAGTTTTCGAACGATCATGAACGCGGTATAGGGCATGGAGTTGAAGATTCTTTCGTGCTCCACCCAGCGGTAGGATTGTTTGAATTGCCCTGTGGGAGATGTACCAGTATGCTGTGTGAAGACCGAACCGTCTCATTTTCTTTCTCCTGTCAGATGGTATTTTATTCTGCAGCCTGAACTGGGTGATCGAGAGCAGTGAACTGCGAGCAGAATCAGAAGTAGTTGAAGAGCTGGGTGGAGTGAAGATGGGGCGATTGAAGAAGATGAAGCAGCATGAGGATATGAAGCGAGCGACAACCCGCAACAGAGATTCACCGTCTAAGAATGCCAGGTCCTCAGGCCAAGAGTCGCAACCCGGAAATTCCATATCCTTGCAGCGCCGTTACGATTTTGTCAATGAGAGTGATTCTCACAAGGCGAAGGTAGTTCAGTTGAATCCCAAGTCAACTCCGATGGGCAGTGACGATGAGCAGTTCTTTTACAGCAGATACTCTTCTGAGTCGTCGATGATCTCCGACAAATTTCCCACGAGTGGCGCTGCGCCTTCAATATGGGAAGCAGCACCAAGCAATTCCAAGGAGCAGGTGATCATCTATAGCGATATGCCCATAGCACCTCTAATGTCCAGTCCAAGCACCGGAGATCACACTGAATTGGTGCGCGCACAGTCTTTGGGTGCAAATAGCGATCATCTCCATCCGAGCGGCACATTGTTGCAGCAGAATGCAGGGGGTACAAGACTCCCCAGTGGATTGCTTTATCCTTGTTCAACTCCGGAGGGCAACCGTAATAGCTGCTTGCTGAATGCAGCACATTTCACATTTGACGATAACATTCTTTCCCCAGATTTCGCAGGCATCAGTGAGGGGAACACTTACACAGAGAAAATGTTCAAGGAGTTAGTAGAAGAGTCGAAGTTGAATCACAGTAAATCAAAGAACGGATCAAACTCCAACAGCAAGCTTGACGCTTTTACTATTAGTTTGAGAGTCCAAAGGGATGAAATGCAATCTCCTGTGAGCACATTGGACTGTCCCACATCGCCCCAATCCCCAGAGCGCTCATTTTCTGGAACGTTGAAGCGTAAGTCATTGCGACGTAGAAGCGACGAAAATAATAGCATTTCTACCCAGTTGCCCAAAAGCCAATTTGCTCGATACTCGATGTCGGTAGACCGCGCTGTCGATGACGAATGTCTCGAAGGCCCGAGTGAAGTTGCATGGCTTGAACCTTCTCCTTGCCATCCTGATATTGCTAAACTGCATTCCACACTTGCCTCTGGTAGGAAAAATCCCTCTTACGAACGCTCGTCGTCGAACAGTAGCACTTGGAGTATCTCTCTTGTGCAGAATCCTGTCAAATCAGTCTCGAACATGGTGGGCAGGAGGCATCAGACGAGATTTTGTCGGCTCAAGGATGCAATCATGTCAATATCATTTACTAATGGCGACGATGGAAGTCCGTCATCCCGTTCGAGAGCTGTGAAAAAAGGGAAACGTTCAGAGGTGAATTCAGGGCGAAGTTGGTTGGGATCTGGGAGAGGTAGCTCCTTGTGGGCTTGCTCTGGTCGGTTACAAACGGATGTCACGGGGGAGCCTGATCAGCATGAACTATACATGGAACAAGAAAAGAAAGACAAAAACATAATACAGCAGGTGCACACTCTCTTTTGAAATGGTTGTCTAATTCTCACGTCTTGGCTGTTCCATAAGAGTCGCTTCTGTAATTCCCTGGATGATTGATCTTGCCCTGACTGCCATGTTTGTTACCCAATTATGAAGGATTTACAGCCAAAAGCCGATGAGGAAGAGTTTCCATTCGACTACCCCATTGCCTCCACATTCGTCTTTCAAGAAGCTGAGAAGTCGCCGACCTCACCCGCAGTCGTTTCTAGAAACTCTGGGAGCGAAGATCTCCAATCTTGTGACCACTTTGACGACCCCGATGACAGATCTTTTACAGACAGCGAAACTTCAAACACCTGTTCGTTAGATAGTGGGAGACTCAGTGGGGTGCTGGATTACCCGTCAGAGTACCTCCCCACTCGGAAGATCGTTTATGTGGGAAGGATTGTTGACAGTGTTGGCTTGTCAAATAGAGCCTTGAGCGGCTTATCTTCGAGAGCGTTGAGTGGGTTTTTGGAGATAGGGAGATCGGGAAGGTTCAGTACAGACTTACAACGCGGGAGAATTTTGGACAAGGTGCAGCATCCGCGCACTCCCGATGTAAGGCTAAGGATTTTCAAGTCGGAGAAGCCATCGAGACGATTCATGTTGTCGCCTTGCTTGGTACGCTCACCATGCATCCAGTTCTGTCATGAATGTCGTCTGATCGGTAGGATTTGAATCTCATTCTTTATCGATCATTTCAGATGGACTTTAGCTCCTAACAATTTTGCCGGTTTCGTTTCATGTGACAGCCCTTTCTGCATAGATCGAACAAGCGTGTACCTAGAATTCAGCAGGCACCAGTGTCGGGATCCAGCCGAAGGTTGCAACCTGTGAACAGTTTCACTGCCCGCCTTGGTCCGGTCGCTGAGAATCCACCCCTTTTGGACAATCCCATATCAGAGTAGTTGCGGTGTCTGAAGACTCTCTCAAGAGGTGCTTTCTCTCCTCCAATCAATCATTCCATTCCTCCAACCTTCTCTGGAATCACCTGCGACCTTCTCACGGATTAGCAGGTCCGACGCCACTAATTTAGTGTGATGAACTCAAACCGAAGCTTGAATTCTTATGTTTGGCGAGCATTGAGTTTGTAACCATGTCATTTGATCTATCATGCCAGCGTATAATCAGAACAACGATGTTGCCAGTTTTAACCGATTGACTAATTTCTGCAAGCAAAACTACACGAAACCAAGATAGTCCTCCGAAGAATAGACAAAGATGCATTACTTGGCGTTTTCAGATCTGTGGACGTCCCATACCTCCTGTTATATGACATCTGACACTTCCTGTTATATGACATTGGCAATACTGGAGGTGTAGTACCATGCGATCATGTGTGCCTTCTGCTCAACTATTGCTCAATACTCCTGCTGGTTCTGTTTCTGCAGGTCAAAGCTGGAGCTGAGCTGGAACGGCTAATCCTTTGCCATTCCATGCTAGCAAACAGCAATCGGCGTTTTCTTGTCTGTTAAATGCTCAGATTGTACAATGGTAGTAATTTCCTTAATCTTATTTTGCACAGATGTGATGATCATGGTTGCTTGGCGCCCACTTCTGCTTGGCCATTGCCAAGTCCTGGCGCCCACCATAGTCACTGACATTCACGATACTTACTTAAAATGGAGAGCAATGCAATTTGTACGATTTTATCTAAACTGCCTAATGTGTTCTTCATAACTAATAGAATGACATGGTGCATAATTCACCGGACACCCGATCTGGGGTCAAATTTTAAGTGTTTGTGCATGAATCTGCTCTCATGTTTTGGCCTTTAGTTTTGATCCCAGACCTGAGCATCTGCGTCTCTTTGTCAGTCGATTAAGTTTTTGATGCTTCGTAGGAAGCAGGAAGATAATTTGGATTTGAATTTTCAATAGTTTTAGAAACTTTGGGAGCTTTTTATTTTAATTGATGACATAAGAAAGTCTAAAAATGAGCTTGATTTGGATTCAAAGGTTTGTAAAACTCATTTAAGAATTAATGTTGCCAAAGCTTCTTTTCATTCTAACAGTTTTAGTTTACTTTTCTTATAAGACTCACTGCGTATATTCTAAGCTATCATGTTAAAGATTCGGAATTGGAAGTTGTCCTATAGAAAGTATTAAAAAAAATTAATGTATTTTGGAATGTAACCCATATTTATTTGAAGTAATAGATAGAATATAGTAAAATACTATTTACAATAACAACCTTATCTATGATATTATTGTATACAAGTATTTAAGTTTATTTTATATCCAATTGATCAAAAATTAGTCTATGTCTTGCTTACAGATATTTATGCCAAAGAGAGTAGCAAGTAATGTGGATTTTATGATTTTGAGCCAATTACCATCCAAATGAAGGTATTGGATTTATCTTGCCAATACAAAAAGTACTTGACTAATTAATGTTTAATCTATATACCATGCTATATTATTAGAGGATGTCAATTATTTTAATCATGAAGGATTTTAAATCATCTACATGTTAGCATAGGATCCGTTGTTTTTTTCTCTATAGATATTTCAAAACTACAAATATTTTTACTCTTGAATCTCTTTTTGAAATTTTATTGTTGATGTTTTTCTACAATAAAGAAGAAGTATGGAACTAGTAGAAAACCTTGCTTTACACCTCTTTGTAACTAGAAACAATTTGTTGTATTACAAATAATATATACTAATTTTTTAACATTAATAAATTATAGATAGATAAATATATATATATATATATATATATATATATTTTCTAAATCGACCCACCTATCTAAACCATCATTGCATCCCATGTTCCCTGTCCTTGTTGCCCCGCTCCCAGCCTCCATCCCCGATCCCTTCATTGCCAGCCCCATCCCCATTCTCCCCGTTTCCAGCCCTTGTCCATGTTCTCGGCCCCCAGCCCCGACTCTCCCTCCTTGTTTGTGGTCTGTAAGCTCAATTGAATGGAATCGCAACTGTGAGCGATGTCGCTTTTCTCCCGATTGTTCTACAGGTCTGCGCCAGACACTTGTGGTGCTGCTTTGCGGTGACAGTCGACAAGAAGGCCTGGACCGAAGACGTCGAGTTTTGTCATGTGTTGGCTGGCATGAACCCCATGGTGATCGAGGCTCTCTAGGCATTTCCACCCTACAAAGATATGGCCGCCATCTCCGAAATGGTGCAGCCTCATCCGGGAGGTCTCAGCATCCAGGAGATGAGTTCCAAAGATTCAAATCGCAAAGCACGTTGCTCTATGACACTCACGTAACTGGAGCCTGCTGATTACGCGCGACCAAACCTTGTTACCAAGTGTTCACAGTTTGTGACGGCTTTCCTTGACCCAGGCCTCGCGGCAGAACAAGTTGTTTGTGTTGGATTACCGAGAACGGTTAGAACGGTCTTTGTGCAGGGAATCTGTTACTGTATGTGTGTGTGTATGGTTGCATTGCTGCTCATGAGCCCGAGCTTACGAGTGGGCCGTGTTATAAGGACGCTCAACTAGGTTCAGAAATTGCGAGTATTGTTTTGAGTGAAGCTTAATCTGCCTGGTTTATTTGCTGTTGTTTTGGTCTCTTTTGTCTTCTCTTACGATAGGAGTGTGATCGTTTTGCTGGGGTTGGTTCTTCACAAGAGGAGAGATGTTTGGAGACATAACTCAGCTGGGTTTCTAGGTACTAATTTTTGAGGCAATATAAGTAAAACACTTTTATACTCGTGCAACCGCCAGCAGTTGTCCGTGTCATTTAATGTGTGGAATATCGTGGTTTTCAGTTTTTCTCGAGAGTAAAAGAATCTGCGCGTATTGAAGAAGTTGTCGGTTGTGGTTCGATTTGGAGAATGAGGCAAATGCCAATGCTCGATCTAGAGGGAGATGGAACGGCAAGATGCCGCTGCTATTAATCTTCTCTTATTTGAAAACATGAAAATGGGTCGCTGCATTGACAATTTGATGAGCTCCTAGTTTCAAAAGGTTAAACGGGGGCTCTCACAAGTCATTTCATGGTTTTGCAATCATCTTTGTTCACCCTTGTCTAAATTTCAACGATGGTTGGTCAGTTAGCACACCAAATATTGGAGATATGAACTTCAATGAGGACGTAACATTGGCACACATTGGCGACTCTGGTTTCGAAACTTCTAAGTCAATGATATAGTCTTTACTCCATCTTGCAAGGCATCCTTACACCCTGTCAATACCGATCCTCCAACTCCCCCCCTTTGTTATCATCAAACCATTGTCCCGTTGGAAATTGCACACCACCCGCAATGACAATCCAGTTTTTCTTCGAGAGGCCTTAAGCTTACCAGCCTTAAAATTCTTTCGCCTCGTCCCCACATTTTATTCCTCAATCAAGCAGATCTTAATCAAAGGTGAAGCTACACAAAACATTACCGATGTTTTAGAAATACTAATACTTGCCTCAAAAAACCGCACTCTCTCAATGTTGAACCCAAAGGTAAGATGCACAGAGCAGACGGTCACAAGACATTCCACGACGTGATCATTGAAAGCAGTCTTCCTTTAGAGATGTAAAGATGAGGAATTCACCACCATTACTCACATTTTGCCGCTTTCAGCAGCGACTTGTGCTCCGCTTCGCTAAGTTGATTATGATGATGGAAGAAATACCCCGTAATTAAACGGTTTTTCACAAAATCATTGGGTAGAGCTTACAGTGACCAAAGGCGTTGTGAGCCAACGTTGTACAGCAGCGCAAGCTTGATCGATTCAGGAGAGCTAAGCTGTGGCATTGGACCTCCAATTTGCGAAACATCCACAACGGTGCACGCTACTGTATTGATCCCCCAGGCATTCTAGCTCCCGGGGTTTTATCGAGTGGGGGTCAACTGGAGACATGGTGGTTAAATTGCTCAGAAGGTCAGAAATGGGAGCTGGGGGGCGACTACAACCACGATCACTCAAAACGGGGGATGAGAATAAGGACTGGAATGTGAAGGGGGTCGGGATTGGGGCTGCGAATAGGGACTAGGGCTGGGCACGGGGGGAACTAGGATGGGGAACAGGGGGATGCAATGATTTTTTTAGACAGGTGTGTCGATTTCATAAAAGTTTAGGTCATTTTAACATTTCTGTAACATTGTAAAGGAATTGGAAGTAAAATCTTATTTTTTCTATTACTTTCAAGAAGAAATCTTATTCCACCTTATTATATGCTTTCAAGAAGTTCAATTTCAAAAATGAATGTTGTTCAATAGAGGTTTTGGTCCAATTAATTATTTTCTATGTTATGAGAAGATGTTCCAATATATAGTTCAAAGATAGAAATATTTTTTAATTAAAGCATACAAATTTTATTATTAAAAAAAAAACTAAATTTTATTTTAGAAGTTTTTTGGAAAATAATTACTATAAATATTGAATAATAAATTATAATTTTTTAAAGAAATATATATATGATTATTTAATATATTATATTAAATTGCTAATTATTAGAGGTTGTTCAATTACTCTCATTGTAAAAAAGTAGAATATTGCCTCTAATTACTTTAGTAGAAACTTTCTCTTTAAAATGGCATCATTTAACTTTTAAATATAATAATCACCAATAATTTTTTAATAATATTTTTTAATTCTACTCCGACATCATCTAGACATAGTGTCTTTTTATTTTATTTTTATTTTTATGCCTAATTTATCTCTTCTAAATCTAGTTTCATAAGATTCATATTTTTTGCTATAAAATCTTTAATAAAATCTTTGCTAACATGTTTTTCTATTGTATTATAGTAAAGAATTAAGTTGCATTGATTTTGGTATAAAAAATATTAAAAAATTATACAAAATCTTGTAAAGTAATAGTAGATTAGTTAATTTTATTTTATATTTTTTTATTAATTTTAACTAGTTAAGTTTTGGCTCTATTCATAGACAAATTTTAAAAAATATGTTGATATTCTTATCTTATCTTAATTTATATTTTATTATTGGTATTATACAACAAACTTCTCTTATTTTTATTTTTATTTTTTGGTTTTTCTTAGCTTTGTTTCAATTCTTGTTAAGTCAATTTGTATTGTAAGTCATTTTAAAATGTTGCATGGACTTTTTATTTTACCTATAATATATATTTTTTTAAAAATCTTAATCTTCACAAGATATTTTTTAAAATTTAACAAATTTTCTTATTTTAATAAGAAAATTGCTTCCAAATTAATATGATCCCTATATTTGAGAAATCTTGACTTAGATCCTAGAATCATGTAGATAATATGCATTGAATTTATAATAAGATTTTAAAACTAAATATGAAGTTTAATAGAAAATTCTACTTCTAAATAATCAAATCGAGTCTCGTATATATATATTTTTTTATTATATTATAGTTTCTTCAATAGCCTCTTTGATTCTCAAATAAAACATGTTTCATCATGTTAATATTTGTATTCCATATTTTTTATTATTTCATGAAAATATCAAGTGTCTTTCTAGAGAAAAGAAATCATCTAGATTTAATTATTTGTATATTTTAGCTTCTTTTGTATCAAGTGTCTTAGTACAATTAGAAAGTTTTTCTTTTTATCTTTTTGTCATAATCTCATCACATCCAATCATCAATTATCAAGTTTATGTTATTAGATAATAAATTCAATTTAAAAATAAAAAAATGATTTTTTTCTTAATTTTTTTTGATGCATAAATATTTGTTACTTCTAAAAGTCTTCCAAGTGACTATTATCTTTTGATGTCTATAATATTATTTATTGTTGGATTACAATATAATGTCTTCTTATTCTATGAAAGCTATATTTTCTT